ATCCAGTTGTCAAGCTAACATGTGAAAAGTAAGGAAGAATAAAGATGGGAGCCATCTTCAGCAGTATATCTCAACTAGAAGATGCACTGTCCTTTCTCCTCTCTCCTCTGTATCATGTACAAAGAGTCAGTGCAATAGTTTGAATGTGTCCCCTCTAAAATTCAGGCATTGCCGATATAATAGTACTAAGAGGTAGGCCTTTTAAAAGGTGATGAGGCAATGAAAACTCCTTCCTCATGAATGGGATTAGGTACAATTAATAAAAGACTTGGTGAAGGGAGTTCCATACTTTTGCTCTTCTGCCCTGTAACATGTGAGGACAAAGCACTTCCTTTCTCTGGAAGATGGAGTATCAAGGCACCATCTTGGAAGCACACAGTAGTTCTTACCAAAGAATAGAATCCGCTATCCCTTGATCTTGGATTTCTCAGCCTCCATATTATTATTTTTTTAACTGTATTCTTTATAAATTACCCAGCCTCAGATGTTTTGTTATAGTGGCATAAATGGCCTAAAATAGCTGCAAAGATTTTTTAAGACACAAATCAGATTATGTCTCTTACCCACCCAAAATTTCTCAATGGAATCATATTCATTTGGAGCATTTTAATCTATTATCAGAAATTAGATAATTAAATGCATAGGAGATCCAAAACTCATGACATGTCTGTAAACTGGAACTAATATCTCACACCTCATATCTCAGAATAACCACAAGTTTAGCATTGGGTTTTCAGAAAAGTCATGATGTATTTTTCTGTTTTTTTTCTATACAAAAATTTGTCATGACTTTTCCAATGACCCAGTAGCTTTCTATTACTGAAATTTTAGTTGCTTAAAACAGCATAATGTATTTTCTTGTAGATCTGGGGTTCAGATATCTAAACTGATCTTACTAAACTAAAAATCAAGTTATTGGCAAGGCCATGTGCCTTTCGGAGGCTCTAAGAAAGAATCTGTCTCCTTGTTTTTCCTAGATTCTGGAGGTCACCTGAATTCCTTGGCTCAGGGTCCTTTCCAACAATTTCAAGGCCAATAATGTATCATTTTCAAACCTTCTATTTTTTCCCCCTTGTTGGATCACTTTTTCTGACTTTGATACTTCCTGCCTCTTTTTTTAAGGACTGTATAGGGCTCATTGGAATACTTTTTGATAATTTCCCTGTCTCAAGATCCTTAACTTAATCACATGTGCAAAGTTTGTTTCATCGTATAAAATAATATATTCACCAGTTTTGAGAGTAAGAATATAGACAACTTTGTAGGAAAATGGGCATTATACTGTTTACCACAGAGAGTCAAGCAAAATGAACTATGGGAAAATGTTATGGAGCCATGAAAGCATGACAAAAATACAAGGTAAAGTATGCTTAGAAAGGAAGATTCTGACTTAATACACTTGATAAGAAATGTCCAGTTTGCTTTTGTTTCGAATTTTCCAGAAGGTGCATATGCTTGTTGTAGAGAGACTGAGATAGAGAGAGAGAGTGAGACAGTGAGAAAGTACCTCGAACAGGATATGGTCACAGTGCAATTCCTTCTCCTCCATTTATTTCTCCTTTTGGGATTTTGGGCATATATGCACATGTACCTGGCATGTTTCCCAAGACAGCAGGTCCAGGATTCAAACTGTGCAGTTGGTTTTGTGGAATCCAGCCATCTCAATCACCAGGCCACTGGCTGGCCCCAAATGTTCAGTTTTTTTTTTTTTTTCTTTTTTTGGAGAGGTTTTTGCTATAGGGCACCTGCACTCGCCAGACAGAGAGACACAGAGAGACAGAAAGCGAGAAATCACCCCCCAGGGGGGATGGCCAGGCTTCAATCCCTTCTCCTCTATTTTCCTCTCGGGATCTTGGGCACGCATGTACACAGACCCTGCGTGAGTTTAAGCCACCGGGTCCGGACCTCAAACCACGGTCGACTATGTGGGAGTCCAGTGACATAGCCATTACACTAACTGCTGGTCCCCCAAATGTTCAGTTTTTAAAACTGTATTCTAATTTTTTGTTTACCATTACATTACAAAAAACAGTATTTTTAAAGTGGTCAGGTCACCTCTTTATTGCAATGAATGGATCTTTTAATCATTCACCTTTATCACATAATACAAACAGGTTAGGTTATATTCTTTTCTGAATGAAAAAAATTACCTAGTTGAAACCAAAATCTAAAATTAAAAAACTGTATTATCCACTTCTGAGAGCCAGAAATCACCTATAATAATTGCTGGTGGATGTTGTGCCAGTCTTGTTCCCCAAATTATCATCTAAATTTTAGCAAAAAATTAACTATATAAATAATATCCATGCTTTAGAATATTTACCAGTGATATCTCATCCAGGGATCATGCTTTAATTCTGTAATATTTTCCTAAGGTGTAGAGTATAATAAAAGACTGATCAAATTAAACATCTGGAATTGGACCTATATTTTGTTACTTGGATAAGTAAATTCTCAAAATTCAATTTTCTTTGTAAAAAAATAAGAAAAGAAAAAAAGCAACCCTTATGGGCAGGTTTTCATAAAACCTACATTGGCTGAAAACAAGAGATCATTTCATATATAATTATATAATCTCTAGATTGGAGAAATATCAAAGTCCAATGTTTGTTAAAACTTTGAGACTCCTTTCTCTTCACCATAACTCATGAATAATTTTAGGTTAAGTAGGAGAGTGATATTTAAACAGCTCTGAAGAATTATTACCCAAGCATATGGAAATTTCCTAGGTTTAGTGACTGGAAGAATAAGTTTTATTGATTCAGAAGCACCAAACTAGATGAAATTACATATTCTAAATGTTTTCCAATAGACCTTTTTTTCAGTACTAGTCAGAGTAATTACTGGGCAAGAGCTGTCCTCTTGTTTCATCAGGAAAGCCAACAAGTTTTCCAACTAAGCACCAAAACTCTATCGAAGACTTTAAAATTTATTTAACTGTGAAAGATCATTCCACAAATTTATATTTAGTCATCAACAAATGTCTGCTTTTATCTAAACATGGTTTTGAATATGCCAGGAAATATACCCTTCAAAAAAGAATCTCTAGAGAAATAACACTGAAAACTTGGCAGAAACTGCACTCGTTGCCCAAATCCCAAATTCTTACAACCCATTTCAAAGAAAAAATATAGCAGAGTGTACAATTAATCTTTCTACACTATTGGTTTCCTTCTTCCGTTTGGCAATGGAAATCTTAAAAAAAGTGTTTTGACGTGACGGTTTTCTTTTCTGTCTAAGGGCACTTGTAGTAGCATAAAATTAAAGGTTTTTTTGTTTTGTTTTGTTTTTTAACAGAGTTGTTTGAGGAGACAAGGTAAAAGTATAAAGAAACAGGAAACATTTGACAAGACATATTTGGAATGAAAAGTAAATAAAATCTTTAAAACATGCATGTCAGGGCAGAAAGACTAAACTTTATTTCTAAAGATAGAGATAAACGAGACTAGCATTTTAATCTGCACAGGAAGAAAGGGATAGGAAAAGGAAAGAGAATCCAATAGGAAAGCATTCCCTTGAGACGCTCCAACTGGATTCTTGTCCCTTATCCCTATCAAAGAGAAAATCACATATTTAGAACAGACACCCTCTCAGAAGTGATAATCATGTTGCAATCTGCGTTGCCTCAGGATGATACGCTGCTTCCAATGAGCTCTGTTCTTAATATGAAGGTGTCCGAACACACTTCTGATACATATCTCTCTAGGAAATAAGAGAGGGAGCCATCTGTTAAAGTGATTTTACAGCACCAAGAGCCCTTAGAAGAGCTCATATCTTGAAGAAAAGACTGAAGAGTTGTACATACGCAAGAACTAACAGAAAAAGATCTCAAAGACTTAAAGATAAATTATTTGGTTCTGAGACTGTCTAACTTCCTCTCTTCCTCCTTCTTTCTCTCCCTTCCTTCTATCCTATTTCCTTCTTCCCTCTCTCTATGAGAGAGATACAGTTTTAAAATAACAATATATCAAAAATTAACTAGTCTTTGGGCTGGCCTCATAGTACAATGGTTAACCTCTGTGCATGGAAGGCCAGGTCACACATGATTGACCTGTTGAAAGTCACTCCAGGCCATGGGCATGTAAGTCCAGAATCCTGATGGGATGAAAAAATGGAGGAAAAAGAATATGATATGACTATGTCTCATCAAGGTGTGTTATCTCTCTCTCTCTAGTGTGTGCATGTGTCCTCTGACAAAAAAAAATAGTAATTTAAAAATATAACCGATTCTTTTTTGGTCTGAAATGAATAATCTTCACTTAAAGATGTCAATGAATTTAAGCTAGTCTTGAAAATAACTGTTTGACAATTTTGTATAAAAGGATTCTTTGTTAAGATTTGATTTAAATGGTTATTAACTGTAGCAGCAATCTCCAAATTACTTTGCAAAGCAAATTTAAGACAGGGAGATAATTCTGTCATCGACCTGTTAGAGGAATGTAATCATGAAGTTCATTAATCTTTACATTGTGTGATATTGGGAATTCAGAAGTTTTCACAAAGATGGTTCTGGGCTCAGAAGTCAGGGAGCTCTGAATTTCCCAAGTGATGTTAAAGAAACAGCTTGATTTTTGTTTCTTACATCTACTGGGCCTTCGCCTAAGACTTTATATGAAGATATGATTTTCTCTATTAAAGCATTTGGAAGAACACTGAGTAAGACTGCTATTCTAGAGAATAAAATAAAAAGAATAAAATAATTTTTCCCAAATATTTAGAATTTATTCCCAGTTGTGGAAGATCTAGATATTTTGAGGAGTTTGCAAAACTACAGCTAAACGTCCCCTTATGTTCTTGATGAGATTGGGGCACATCATCTGTTTCTTTACCTCTCAAACTATAAGATACTGAGTGAAGGAACCGCAAGTGTACTCACTTCTGTCAACCACTGTGGAATCATTTATAAGTCACTGTCATGTAAAGCTAAACAATCCTGCTAAAAAATGAAATGTGTGAAACGACCAAACATTGCTGTAATAAAAATGTACTCACCAGTTGTTCTTGTCGTTATTTTTCCTTCTCCAACTTCTAAGGAATAGACTTAGGCTAATTATCAGACCATAATTCAGCCTCATGGCCAATTGCTACAGGCTGAACAAAGAAATTAGATTTTGGAGAAGGGCAATGAATTCTTTAAAAATCATGGGTTTGGTTTCCAAAATTTGACAGTTTCCTATGTACATCGAAAATGGATTATCACATCAAACATGATTTTAGACAATTATGTGGGTAATTTAATAAAGCAAATAACTGTCAATTATTTGGATATTGAAAATATAGTTTTTATTTAAAATTGCTTTTAAAACTTTTCATTCTGCACAAGAATATAAAAAAATATGCTTTGTGTGATGAAATTCCTGGCCTCAACAGGTCCCATATAGCTTCTCAATCTGATTCCAATTCGCAATCCAACTTTTTCCCCAAGACAAATTACTGCCCTGGAACTACTATTTCTCCCAACATCAAAGACCCTTGCATATCAGTACATAGTGTAGAATTTTGCACCCCTGTGATCCTTTCCTGGTGGAAATGTGCTAGTACGAAAGCAAAATGTTTACTTTCCTAAATGGGCCATTTGTTAACAAATCCTGTGGGTATTGTACATTGTCTCAAGCGTTTGTATACCTAAGTTGTTTGCCATGTTCTTTTCAGAGCAACTTGAAGCCCAGCTGGAAAAGCATAATTCAGAAATATATTGTTATTTTTTTCAAGGACCTTTTCTTTTCCTTTACCCGTGGCAATAAAACAAGACGAGGGTGTTTGCAGAAGTGTTTTCCCAACGTGTTTTCCTCCCTCTGGATCTTTTGCACCAAACAAACAAACGAAAAACCTGTCTGTTATTTCAGAAACTGCTATTTCAGAAGAAGCCGGTACTGGAGTCTGTCCTATCTTACACATTTTTATTGTTCCTTTCCACTTTTTATATGATCTCTAATATATATTTATGGGAACATCAAGATTCTTAATTATTTTCTTACATTGGAAAAACAACATGACAGACTTAAAGAAATTTGGGAAGGAAGCAAACGACCTCTTATCTCAAACACGAACACAACTGTCTTCATGTTTGCTTTCTTCTTTTCCATATCTTCTCACGCACACCTGATATTTGTATTGCTACAAAATCATAGATGAAATTAACATTGTTCTCTGTCTTTTATATTTATCATGTGATTACTGGTATTTCCCTTGTCTCCTATAATTATTGCCTTACTGTCTACATAATTTTTTGATGAATGGGTATACTTTAATTTGTTTAGTCATTTCCTTATTATCAGATGTTTAGAGAGACAGAAAGAAATTACCCTCTTTTTAATTTACCATAAATTCTCAAATGTAAATTTTACTGACAAACAACAAACATTTTTACTCTTGATAAATAGTCAAATTAAAATACAAAATAATTTTACTAAACTCGGCTGATACCAACAAATTTAGAAGGATAATTTTTTTATCTTAACATTTATTGCATTTGTATTGTAATTTAAGCACATATATACGTATACATATTGTAATTTATACATATATATGTGTGTGTATATATATACATACATATGTATATATACATATATATACATACATATATACACATATATATATGTATAAATATACATATATACACACATATATATGTGTGTGTGTGAGAGAGATTATAAATTTAAGAAATATATTTATGTATTTATTTAATTCCATTTGCTATTATTATTCTTTTTTAAATTTGATCAGAGAGAGAGAGAGAGAAAGGGAAAGTGAGAAAGCAAGCTGCCAGCTTCAGGACTCAAATCACAGTCAGCCGTGTTGGAATCCAGCACCCCCAACCATCATGCTCCCTGCTGGGCCCTGGGACTGTAAATTAATAAGAGGCATCCAGGTTATTAATACGGGAGAAAAAGAATGTGAAATAAATATGGAGTGTAGCACTAATGAGTTGTCAACACATCTATGGCTTCCTCCTTTTCTCCTTAAAAATAAAATCACAAGTAATGAAAGAACACTAAAAATTCAGCAGTCTCCTTGGTCTGCTCCTGATTATAACCCTACATTGAGAGAAAGAATAACAACATTACAATACTGATGACCATTATTTAATTACATTGGATGTACATTTTCTTTTTCCTTCATTTAATATGGAAAATTGCTTTTGACTATAATTTTTTTCCTATTTTTAAATGTAGTGTCTGTATTTTAATCTGTAATCTTTTAAAGTATTGAATTACGTGGTTTGACTTTACACTACGTGAAGATTAAGTATTTCCTTTTGTTCCTTTTAAATTAACCTTCCATTAGTTTTGAGTGATCTCTCCTTCTTGTATTATGGAATAGCACATAAAAAAGGATCTTATCAATTTTTACTATACCCTCCATAATCTTAAATAACTCAATTATATTCACTCTATCTCTTCACATTTCCAGGCTAAATAATCTTAGCTCTTCTACTTTCCTTTAGCATACGCTTAAGTTTCATTCTACTTTAACCATCTTATTTGTCCGTTTGCGAACTCTTTCATTCTTATCCTCCCCCAGGGGATACATCCTAACTTAAGACAGTGCTTCATATTGGAAGATTCTATATATAATTATAACATACATTAGTGCTATTAATTTGCATTTATATACCATTTCATTTATGCAAAGTGCTTTTCAGTTTATCTTTGTAATATTGCTGGGAACTTATTAGCATATGTTTTTGGAAAGAGAAAGTATAAAGAGGTTGAAACTAACCCCAAATCACAATAGATACATCTAAATCATCTACTTAAAACAACAAAAAAAATCTTTTTTTATTTAAATAATTTACTTAAAATGGTAATTTGATTGATGAGAACTTTACTAAAAGACCTTGTTAATTTCTAGCAGTAAAAAGAACAAGTGAACAAAATGAAATTTTATATACTTATTCTCTTAAAACTAATAAGACCATTTGTTAAATATGCCAGTGACTTAGCAAAGTATAACTTTGCCATTTATTTTGAGTTTAAGATAATTTTGTTCAAGGAATAATGAATTTCCAATATTTAAAAACTAAAAGTAATTGCACTCAAAAATAATTGGGGTGACTTGAATCTAGAAAATGCCTATTAGATAGGCAGATTTAGCTTCATATACCAAGAAATATCTCTTCTCCCTGCTCATATAGATTAGAAGAGGCTATTCTCATTATTTTAACTACACAACCCTGTTTTAGATTTGGCTGGCTGGAAATTGACCATATTAATTCCTTGGCTTTCTGTCACATGTCTAAATGTAAAGTCTGTTATTACATGCTACCTTGACTGGTGAAATCAGGAAAGCCAAATGGCTTCTTCATAAGCGCAGTTGCAGTGCCATGGACAATGAGCATTGCTGAACAATGCTGGATCCATGTGGAAGGCAAAGGGTTCGTATCTTAGGTGGACCTGAAACACTGGTTTCACCCATGATCTTGGCTGGCTGGGAGGTTTGTGGAAGGATTGTGGCATGGTGAGATTCTGTCAAGGGTAATCCCCTCTCTTTCTCTCTTAATAAATGATATAAATGTTTAAAAGATTATTATAGCTACAAATTTCAATGTCTTCTGTGTCTAGAAATAAGATTCTCTAACCACACGATCCTTTTTATAAAACAGACCAGGTGAAGTTTCTGCTTATTCTTAAGTAGCAGATTACAGTTCCCTGTCAGTCCACAGAATGATCTGAACAAACTCATCACATCCTCAATTAGGGACCAGGGGAAACTTGACCCTCTTGTGGGTCAGTCCCTCAGAGCTTCTGTTCTGGACTGTAGCCATTGTCTGGCTTCGTGTGGTAGGTAGTGCTCTTCTCCCTAATCAGTGGGTGAATATAACGCAACAGCTCTCCATATTTCCGCTAGGGTCTGTGTCATGTGTTTAGCCATATCTATAATCCTATGGTGAAAATTCCTTCCTCCTCCAAAGGGCAAATAGGACATGATTTAAAGCATCCTTTATTTGTAGTTCTTACATCACTGAATCCTTTGTCCGCCAATGAAGGACAATCTTAAACAGTTTATCATTTGTTTGACGTTTACATCTCATGTTATTTGAAAAAGTTGTGAAATTGTTGGCCTTTACAAATAAGCGTGAAAGTTTTCCAGGAATATTTTTTGCTCTGTTCGCTTCTTGAAGAGTAGTCTTTGGAAAGCAATGTATTATGATAAAAGTAATTTTATATACTAAGCACCAAAATTTCTGTTTTTATAAGAACCTTAGTGAAATTCAGCTGATTTCAGTTTGTCATGCAGAAAAACCACAAGGAGAAAGAAAAAATATATGTCACGAATAGAAACAGAGAAGGCCTATTAATCAATGCTAAGTTTACTGAAAAAGTGCTTTGTGACAAAATAAATATTAGCTCATAATCTCACTTAATTTTTATAATTATTTAAAGGGACAGCTGTATTTCCTTCTTTAAAACATGAAGGAAACTAGTTGGTGATACTACAGTAAAAAATATTAGTATGTGAGGCAATTCCACATGTAGGGGTTCCAGGTTCAAGTCTGGACACCTCCCTGAGCATCCCATGCTCATACACTGACAGAAGGCTGGGGGTGGATTGTAGAGTCCGGGCAATGTTGAAGGTGCTGCCTCTGTCACTCCCTCTCATATCTAGAAAAAAAAAAAAATTGAGTGAATAACATTAAAATAAAAATAAAAAAATAAAAACATGAGAGATCTAATTCTGTGAGATATCATATAACCTTTCAAAATGTATGCAGTTAATGCATAAGAGAATTCTTTCATTGGTTTAAAAAAATAGATTTAGTTTTCATTACATCAGAAAACAAAAATAACACAAGAATAAAAGAAGAAAATATACAGAAGGGAGGAAAGAAGGGCAGGAGGAAGAGAGGGGGATAGAAAAATTCGAGAAAAATGCTTCGTTATATTTTTTATGTGTACGTGTGACCAGTTAAAAAATGAATCCTCCGTTTCCCTTTCAGTAAACTACTGTGGAGGCCAGTTTTCCTTCTTAGCTCTTTTTCGTCATTTGTTATTTTTGAAAAGTATGTGAGAAGTGCTGTGTAAAGAAAAAGCAAATTTAAATCTAGACATGAAATTAGGCATTATGAAGTAATACAACCATCACCTTTT